CATTTCCTAATGAGGTAGGATACAGGCACATACATGTAATATCACACAAACGTATAATATAATTTAAGTTTTTTTTCACGTACGCCCAATAGTGAGTTGCAGGGGCGGATCTAGAATTCTGGAATAGGGGGCCGATAGGTTGGCCTAAGGCCAAGTTCGCGAGCGCCGATGGCGCGAAGCCCTGTTGGTTGTTAAAAATATGGGGAGGGGGCGCGGCCTGCCCCCATCTAAATCCGCCAATGAGTTGAATTACGTTGTACATATCATGACTATAGTTAATAATAATCAGTATATAGTTGAGCGTTTGCAGTGCATTGCGCTTTTAGGCTTGCATTACTGCGATGTATTCTCGCATAAGATCCAATAAGTTTAAAAATCGGCCGGCGCATCAAGTTATTGTTTATGACGATACGTAGCTTTGTCGGCACAGTGGTTTTTTTGTTTCGCCCTAGAGCCGTGAGAACACCATCTGTTACCAATCCTACATGCCAACCCAACATTAATTGTAAACAACTACCATTTCTGTGGTTAATTTTACTTGATGATCTATTTGGTTGTAAATTAAATTACAAAAATAACCATTTGCTTTGTATATTACAAGAATAACGTGGTCATAGTATAGCAGATGAATAATAACCAATTCTATTTTCCCATATAATATCTCAAGGTCCGAAAGTGTCGCTCTGTGACGATGCTAACATCTAATATAATACATGGGAATGTAATGTCACTAATATTTACACATTGATATTACGATGGTTGTGATTTCAAAGATTTTTGTTAAATTACGAATGTTTGCACATAATTTGACAACTGTTCTTAAATAATTTAAATTAATTTTGTTCCTGCTAGGTGCACTCATACACGAGCGAGCATTGTAACACATTATGTTACCTCTAGTTTAAATAGGTAAGGTATCAGATATTATAGTAGACAGACTCACCAGACCGTGCCCAAACATTACAACGTCACAGTGAACTAAAATCACTTATCATCACGCCTGCCTGCTCTTGTAGAGTAACCTTAGTTCTATCATATTAATAGTAGATATTTCTGTTACTTTGTTTTGCGAGTTGTCTGGCTTTACGTACATTAGACAAACATGATATAAAGAAAGACAAAATATGCGTGGAGTTATTTGAAACTCAGAGATGACGCAGATCTTGAGTAAGCGACATTGGTAAGGTAATGTCTCAGTAACAGGTCCACAGAACGTTTAGAATGACAACCCGCTGCGACATAATATACTATTAATAATGTTAACGAAAGTTTTTATATTTGGTTTACTGCTGAGAAGATGAGTCATTACCATTCGATTGGATAGTTCGACCTTAGAAAGTAGGAGTAGAGTTTGCGTTGGTTGAATGGTGGCTTCGGTTGCCGCTCTGCTCGGAGACGGCATTGGATTGCACCTATTGAGTTGTCATCGGAGTGAACGAGCTGGTATCCTCGGGAAAGAACATTTATCGTCACACATGACCTAATATCACCTCTCCTCAGTATTATAACTATAGACGGTATAAACGCGACTTCCATGTTGTGATTATGTGTTACTCATTGAGTTGTTTTGAAGATTCTCTGATGGGGTGACTGGCGTTGGCAATTACACATTTTCTTATAGTTTTGTGACATGGCTAAACAGACATTTATTTTTATCCAATATGATTTTGCAAATATTATCATTTTATTTACAACCTTTGTATTAAATTATGTAATATAATACTTTTTATTTCAATATAATAAATAATGTACTTTACAGATTTTCAGCCAATGCACAATGGTGAAAGTCACTGCGGTAAGACGAAACAGCACTAATAAATAATGCTATACATTACAAGAAGAGCTTATTGCCTTCGAAGCGAAAGTCACAATTCTAACACCTTGCAAAGTGGCAAATGCCTTTATACGTAGATAACACTCAATATATAGTTGAAATGCACTGTTTATCTTGCGCATACGTGTCAACTTGTTAAAAGCCGACTTGTAGACCGTCCTTCAATATCCCATCTCACATGAATAGTTTATGCGAAGAAGTATGTCCAGATCACCTGCCACCCTCATTTATTTAGATACGCAATGACACCCGTAAC